ATCCGCGTGTGATCAGTGAAGACCACAGAGCGAGTTAGCTCCATATTAAGTGAATTGTACCTACGTCAACTTGAAATTAACTCGCTCATCACGAACCCTCGACAAGATATCAAGGAAGTTCCAGACCAGAAAGAAGACTTTATATTGTTTGTAAATGGTATCAACAAAAACCAGGATTTCGTTCAAAATATATTTGCTTACAAAGATATGTGCAGAAAAAACTCATGCTTGACCTGTAATCGGTGTGTGATGAGCAAGGCTCATCATGCTAGCTAGCTCCCCATTAATTGTACCTACGTCAACTCGAAATTAACTCGCTCATCACGAACCCTCGACAAGATATCAAGGAAGTTCCAGACCAGAAAGAAGACTTTATATTGTTTGCAAAACTTTTGTATATAAATCATTGTTTGTAATAACTGTTATTGTAAATTGTATTGTGGTTTGTAAATTATATCATGTTTGTATTAAAAAAGAAAACTGTGTCTATCAATATTGTTAGCAAATATCATAAATTGGATACATATTGGCATTTATTTAACTACTAAATTTAAATTATCACTTAGTTCGGGGCCCAACATGGCCAGGTGATTAGGGCATTCGACTCGCAATCTGTGGGTCACGGGTTTGAATCCCCCTCACACCAAACATACTTGCCCTTTCAGCCGTGGGGGCATTATAAAGTGATGGTCAATTCCATTATTCGTTGGTGAAAGAGTAGCCCAAGAGTTGGCGATGGGTGGTGATGTCTAGCTGCTTTGCTTCTAGTCTTACACTGCTAAATTAGGGATGGCCAGTGCAGACAGCCCTCGTGTAGCTTTGCACGAAATCCATAACAAACAAATAAACAACTTAGCTCAGTTTCAGACCATTTGAAATTATAATACGTAACATTAAGTAAAAGCATCACAACACAAATTAATGTGGGTATGATTCACTTGACCAATAAGATAGGAAACTTAGATTTATGCTATGTTTCAAAATGCAAGTTACGTCTTAAGATACACCTTGCCTGGCACGTTTAGTTACATTGTTTGGGATGTTACTTTTAGTTTTTATTGTTTTCTGCATACTGTGAAGAATTAGTATCAGGGTAGAAATAAGTTCTTGTGAAAAAAAAACACATTCAAGTCTCCTCTGAACATTATAGTCCTTTGCAAAAGAAATAAAGGAACAAACTCCTGCCAAAAAAAAGAAAAAAAAATTCCCAGTCTCCACACTATTATGGAAGTTCAGCAGTTTGAATTCTTGGGTTAACACAAAAAGACATTCTCCTACTCTATCATATTTGGTTTCTGTTGCTTGTAGTTTTTCTAAAAAATAACTAAATCTTCTGGAAATCTACACAATTCAATTAAAATAGCCTGTCAATAACAGGATTATAAATTTTGTATAAAATTGTGAAATGCAAACAGACTTCATAAAAATATTGTAAAAAATTCTTTGAGTGTGATGGACAAAGTAATGTTTTATTAATTATATTCCTTGTGTAAAGATGAAACGAAAAAAAAAAAGGCATGCATTTACAAATAACAATTTATAAACTAAACTGACAAATATATAACCAATTTATTGTTTGTAAATGCAGGACTTCCACTGCTAGTACAACAGTTCAACCTCAGACAATACATTTGAAATGTGTGTGTATGAAAAAAATGAAACAGGCCTACCCTAACAGTCTTTGTGCAGAGTATTTTATCCACTTTAAACCTAAAGATAAATTTTGATAGGTTTAACAAAATAGCTTACCAAATTTATTTTTGTGATACATAACTTATATGCAAGTTCAAATCTAACATTTCTACACAATATAAGTGAATCATGGCACTTACAGGGTTTCCAGAGTAGACATTTATAGACTACTTGCCTCTAGAAAATTGGTGATTTTACTTTAAAAAATACATTATGTTGATTTTAAAAGCCACTAGAACTAGAAACATGCTGAACTTGTAATGGATATAAAATATTGTAAATTTATGGAAGTATTTAACTTATTAGAAATTGTATTGTTTAATTTTGCTTTGTGTTAAGTTACCATAGACCAATTTTACTGAACCTCACTATAAACTCTCTGTATTGCAAGATGAAATAAAAATATTACATAATGGGAGATTTATGTAATAAAGTTATATAAAAACTGAGTCATAAGCAGTTCTAATACACTTAGTTAACATACTGTTAATTTTTTTAAACAAAGATTTTAAGAAAAAGTTCATAATGAATTATCTTAAAAATTAACAATCCTCTTAGGAAGAGTAACTAATGAACAAAGTAAAAAGCTAAAGAAATATTTTTTGAGCATGAAAATATACTTTTAAAGAATAGACAGAAAAATAATAAAAGAGCATACACATGACAAATTTCTGTAAGTTACAGAAAAGTGAATTTCAGCTTAACATTTCCATCACATTTATGCTAACAACTAAGTATTTGAAAAATATAAGTTTCTTGAAAAACATTTCAAAATTCCATTTAAAGAAAACGTGCTTGACTAATATTTTATATACTTTTCATCCATCAAAATTAAATAACAATTTTTCTTGGGTAAAAAATGAATTTAATCAAAACTTTTACTATGCTCACATAATATTTCACAATATTCTTAATTCATATTTTTTTAATTAAAAATATTTTAGCAGTCCAAGAACAAAATTAAAAATGGCTGGTAACAATTCCTCAGTTACCAAATTTTAATATAAGTATCTCAGAAATATTAAAAAAAAATAAGTTGTTCTGTAATCACCAAGGTAATGCTGTTTTTAATTTTATGGTATCAATATGAACCTAAAATCAGCTGGAAATATAAATGTACTTAATTTTTCAGGTGGGTTTGGGTACATATAAAACATTACAGGACAAGTCAAAATTAAACATACTTGCAAATATGTAAACTTTAATTTATATTGAGTTTCCACTTATATATCACATTGGGCTGTACTACCATTCCTATATATGTATATATATCATGTATCATATTCTTCTCCACAGGCCAAAATCTTTCCTTACAGTAGAAAATACTGTGGCAGTAAGTCCCATTATTTCATAACAATTCAAAGAATTTCATGTGAAGCTAACAGTCTTTTTATCAGTGAAAAGGTTTTTTAAAATGATGACCTGGCCAATACCAATACAGAGAATGGCTAAAGCTTCACCAATGGACCAATAAAATACTTTAGCATTCAGATCCTCTGCAAACTTTCGACCTTGAGCTTCACGTAACCGATGATGTGTCTGATAATCAATAATTGTGTTTAAATTCTCATGAACCTGGATGCTTGAAGATTCCATCTGGCATGAAAGTAAAAGCTTAATATGTTAAAATAATAGCTTCACAATCACATAATCAATAAAATAAAGGTAGACAAGCTTACTTCCTCAAGAGTAAATAATAGGTTGAACAATCGCCAATTCTCAATTCAGTATTTATATATATATATAGACACACACTATTTGTTATTCTGACAGATATCTTCAACAGATTATACTGTTGGTTACTAAATGTCCATGTAAAAAGTTAGTTTTCCACAAATATGGTTTACATAAATTGATTTTTTCACTGTACCTATTTTTCAAAACAGTCTTGGAACCATTATGTAGCAAACATTAAAAAAATTCTGGAACGTTAAATTAATTTAAAAGCCAGATGACCCTATCTCTCAAAATGTGATATTCTGAATTATATGTAAACACTTCATATGTTAATAAGTATCAGCTGGATGAGCAATACTTGCAACCTACATGCATAAAAAAATAATACAGATATATCTAGTATTCTTTAATTATAAGTGCATGCACTTAGATGTGACTACTCAATTTTCTTAGATGTGTCAGTATGTACTTTATATCATCCTGTACAATTACTTACAACAAAGTTTCAAATCCACTTACAATGCCAAAATACACTTCCTTGATCCATTTTCAAAACAATGTAACAAATACATGTATGTGTAACATATTCTATTCTGATAAATAATGAGTAATTATTACGGGCTTGAAAAGCTTCACACCTTAAAACTGAAAAAAAAACTCCTTGTTTATATTTTAAATATGATTAGGATTCAAAGGAGAAAGGGTTTAAAACCTTAGCTTTACATTTAGCATGTTGACTGTCAATAAAACTTTACAGAATTAATTACTTCTAAAACCTAGATTTTAACTCTACACAATATATCTATGAATATAAATCTAAAAAAAATGTAAATATATAATTAGTTCTTTATAGCTTCATCTAATACTGAGTACTGAATTTAACTTCTTCATTCAACAAACTTCAGTACATGCAGATGTTTAACCTCCATACTTGATGTACAAGTTAGGATGTTTCATATGTGACTGGATATTTTATAAAAAATATTAAACTTATTATTCTACATTAATGTGGACACCACATGCAACTTCCTTTAACAGAAACAACATCTCAAAGTGGTACTTTATATGTGAGGAAATATTTTGAAAATAAACCTCAATCACACTTTTTACCTACTGAAAGTTTTTAGGCTTAATTTGTCAAGTTCTCAAAGTTTATTTTTAATGAGGAATTATTTTATAAAGTTAATGGTTAAATTATTAGGACAATGCAAGTACCTGAATAAAATGACCAAACTTAAAGAGCAGTTACTCTGTACAAAAGATGATAAACCTTTGTCTTGAATTGAATGAGATTTATGAATAAAGCCTTCTAAATCTTAAATAATGGGAAAGTTTAAAAAATGTGGTCACAAAACCAACTTCATTGCAGTTTTAAAATTTAAAATAATAATTTAAATAAAATTTTTAATGAAAACTGTAAAGAGTTCCTTATTGAAACAACAATAAATAAACTTTCAAAAAGAATAAGAAAAACCCACCAAAAACAAAACTAATTGAGATACTTACAACAGGAGCTAAATTATTTAACCTATTGTTTTTGGAGGGGGGGGATACAAGAAGATCAGTGTTAGGTGACACAGAGGGAGGAGATAAAAGTAAAAAGAAAATGGCAAAAAGAAAAGTCGAAAAATAATTTATAGTTTCTAAATATGGAACTACATTGAAAAAAACTCAATAAATACAAAAACGACAATAAGAAAAGTGAATAGGATAAAAACTAGGCTACTATGAAGTCAAAACCCAAAAGTTAAGCCTAATATAATTTAACTACACAAATTTATAAAATATCAAAAAAGTAAAAACTAAAAAATTCTTATCAAAAATCCACAACTAAGAAAAATCATTGGAAAGTGTACCAATTAAACATCACTAACAGCCAACTACAAAATGTTCCTAAAAATCTACAGACCCTTGTCACAAACCAAGAATACAGCACAAACAAGAGAAAACATCACAAAACAACATGAAAAAACAAATCCTTATACTAACCACACAGAAAAAAGAAAACAAACACAAGAACTATAAAGGTGATATACAAAGATGCCAATTAATAATCATTAAAATACCAAAAAATCTAAATCTATTAAAACTATCTCAATTTCTAAAAGACAAAAATATAGCAACAAAGATTTAACAAGAAATAAATTTACTACTCAAAATACAGAAATGATCGTAATAGAAAACAGAAACAAATCTGACACAAACTAATTACAGTTTCAGATATAACAAATGATCTTGCACACAAAAATAAAACACAAAAGCCCTAAGTAGAAAACACATGGTTGGAAACTTGAAAATGTCAATAAGAAAAAAACACACATTCACCATGAAAACACATAAAATGAAACAAAACTTTAGTAAAAATTTGGTTTGTGTGTAAAACAGACTTGTAATGTTTACTAAATGCTTGTAAAATATCATGAAGACACACATACTAAATTCAAAATTATAGTAAACATTGCTATGTATAGCTTCACAGAAACAAGGTACGTGCAATGCACCAATGCTGTACACATAACATTAGTAAACACTATAGTAGCTATACTGATGTCACCCTAAACCCAAACACAATAAATAACAACAAAAACCATTACAGAAACACAATATAATTTATAATATGTAGCTTTTTTTAAATTAAAAACAAATGAAGTAAAAACAAGTTTTATATTAGAATAAAAATTATATTACAATTTTTTTATTAATCTGGATATGGAAATAAAATTCAACTAACAAGAAATCATCTTACAGGGAACAGACCATGAAAAGACAAAAGATACAAGTAAGAAGCAACAGAATAATAGAAAATAACTTGAAGAATCAAGTAAAGAAAACTAAAAAAATAGATATAGCAGGACAAACCATTAATAGATAAAAGTACCACACAAAAAAGTGGCATCCTGATATGGAAGTTTTGACAGAAAATTATTACACCTGCTAAATATCATTTGGAAACCAACAGCTGAGAAATGAACAGAAAACTAAAATAAAGTAGCTGAGATGCTAGTATAGATAAGTTTTAAGTAAAGTCTTGCATGATATTAGTTGACCCTTTAAGGTCAAATGCCTTTATGAAAACAAAGAAACATGCACCCAAAATGACATAATTAACCTTTGTCATGGCTGAAAGATGTTCTCCCACCCCTGGGAGAGGTTTCTCATCCCCCACTTGAAAGTCCATGTACACTAGCTTGTGGCTAAAGGTAGAAAACTCGTTACTGAAACACACAGTATATACACCTGTCTGGGCAGCCGTCCATGTAAAACTATCAAACTGTTTCTTAATCCCTTTGTACAGAATCTGTCGAGTTGGAGATTCTAGACTCATATCCACATCATATTGCCCACCTGTAACAACCTGGGAATAAAAAAACATTATATAACATTAGCTATAAAATCTTAATTTTGATAAAACGTTTGGTATTATGTTCTACATTTCCAGTATATGTAATAAACAAAGCTAATTTTGTCATTTACTTTTTTAGTAATTTGCTGATGCATTCCATGACTAAACAAATACTGATTTAAAAGATTACATGTGCTCAAAACATATTTTAGCCCTTAATTAAAAATACAGAATAAAAAAATATCATGGATTATACTTGAAACATAATAATAATGATGAAGCAACAGGCTTATAACAACAAACTTTAACTCACTTTATGCAAACCATTACAGCTGTACATTATGGTTAAATAATGATGGATATTTAAATTTACTAGTTGAAACAACAATAACACTATTACACAATTTTTAGCTAGTCACGTGTGACTGAAGTCACAGTTGTAACAGGTTAGAAGCTGAAAGAAGTATGAGATTGATTAAAATTAGATCAGAACCAGTGGATATTGAAATCTCAATGACAAATCTTGAATAGGATTTAACTTAATATGTAATGAGTTTTATACATGAGCATATAAACAATACTGACAGAAAGAACCGGTGTTTTTTTTTATACAACAGCTGTGTTTATTAAAACATGTTTCAAATAGAGAAAAGTATTATCATTCACAATTTTCACTGGTTTTGTAAAAGTCATTTCAGAAATGTGTTGAAATGAGTGTGATATTTCTCAAAATGGCTGAATAACAGGCAAAAATTTAATTGCCTTCTTGAGCAGCACTACATGTGATATGTTCTTGAAGAAAATTCAACTATTTATCAGAAATTAGTTTTTAAAACATATATAATATAAATATACATATCTAAATTTTACACCTACACATTTTGAACATCAAGTGTTATTGACAATTACACGAGTGTTATTTTTCAGTCAATGAAACAAACTTTACAAATTCATTCATAAAAAAAAACAATAACATACAAGTATGATAGCTTTCCTGTAAAAGTAAACTTATTTTTTTATTATGTTTCACATTGTATATACAAACAAGTATACATCAAACCTTAAAAAAACAAGAAATCTTAATGGTAATATGTTCAAAAATGATGTTACAAAAAATGTTAAATATGGCCTTGAAATTTATTGTTACCACAATCATCAAAACCTCAAGCTTGGTTTCTAAATCTTGTTAATATATGGCAATAAAGAAATGAAATTTACTATAGCTATATGGGAATGTTTTAAGCTTCTTAAAGAACAAAATTACAAACTATTGAAAACTATTGGTTATGCAGTGGCCTCAATTCACTAAGTTTACGTCAAAGTTGGAAATGTCCATTTTATTGAAAACTCTAAATCTGAATAGGAGAGTCATGGTGCTGATATCTAAATCCAGATATTTTGTTTTCTTTTTAGAGAAAGTACTTTTTTATAGTGTCTTCTGGTGGATGAATTTGTTTGGCTATGAGACACAAGTATAAACACAAGAATTTCTTTCATCCAGATCTTTAATTCAAATGTAATATTGGATGGACAAATGTTGGCCGCAAGATGACAACTTACCTGCAAAATATCATTCATACTAATGATAGTTTTCACATAATGTCACAATGTCCAGGGTTTTCTTAAGCCACTGCCATCTTATGGGTCAAGTTTAAAAAACTGTGACAAAATTAGTGCCATTATCAATGAAGAGGAAAAACACTGATAAAATTTCTGAGAAAGATATAGGAAGAATATCAACAGAATTGATCCATATGAGGTAGTAAAAAAAGACTGGTCAAGTGATCACAAAGGCCTCATAGACATATCCTACCCAGACATTGTCAACTACTTGGTGCACACATGGAGTACCTACACACTGGTAGAACTGAATGTTAACATGTCTCTGCAATCATACAATAATTAGGTGAAGGATGTTGTCCATTTGACTTTCAACAACTGGTTTGTTGTGACCTCCAAGTAAGATTTCACACTTTACTTAGATCTACTGTTCATTTTTACTGGTTTACAACTTTAAGTTTAAACTTAAAATACATACAAACATATATAATATCCATATAATTCCTTAGGCAGTCAGAATAATAAATGTTTGGCTTAACTTATCCTTCTTAAATTTAAAGTGTGCATCTAAAAGAAAAGTGCTCAGTTCAGAAAACAGTAAACTACCAGAGTTTGTAAAATTCGTTAATTACAAGTAAAATTGTAAAAATGAATGGTGATTCACCACAAAATACCCTTTGACATTCTATCAAGCAAAACCCTATTCATTGAACAGTTATGTATGATAAATTTGTAAAGTACAATGCCACTTTATATGTACTTTAATACACTGATCAATCTTGACTACCATAACATATTTTCCTTTGATTTTTGTTAAAATGATAAAAGTAATGTTTTGTCATTTTATATGTATCTAATTTGCAGAGAAAAATGATTTGATAACTCATAATTTTATATTTTATCATTACCATGATTCATGAAATAAGCATTCATTTTAGTAATTCTCTGCATTAAGCAATATTACTCTATCAGAATGCATTGAAAAACTTTTAATGAGTTGCAATGCAACTGTATAACTATATGTAAGTATAAAACTATGGTATTGAAGTTTTATTATAACTTCATGGAACATTTTATTTTGTAATCAAGGTATCCTAGTAAGGTCTACAAGACAACTAGGAACTAAAAATTCTATTCATCTGAACAATAGTTTTACAATATCACCACATAACAATATCTCCAGAACAATTAAATCACTACCTACATGTTATTTCTCACAAAATAGCTATTAATGTTACATAATCATTGAATCACTCTCTTACTTTTAAGTTTTAATTGTTAACATTCGTCGTACTATTGAAATACAGCTAGCAAAAATGAATTTTTTAAAACCAACATTTTCATCTGTATTTGACCTTGACCTTTTCACAAGGTCACAGACCCATAAAAGTTTGTCTATAGTCATTACTTATCAGTATGATTAATCAGTAAAAAATTATGATAGTTTATCATTTATAACGAACAAATAATATGAACTTTATTTTTGACACCGATAATGAATACTAAGAAAGTATTTGACTTTTATAACAAAAAATGTGAACTAAGAATTCCAAATTTTTTAACAACAAAACAGGACATTATTAAATGTAATTTTAAACAACTTCTGCTATTTTATTTCTTTGTATGATCAGTTTTCTCCTTCCATCATAGGTAAGGGGAACATTTAAAAAAGTCCAATAGTGATAATGTAAATTTCTCTTCTTAAAGCATCACTTAAAACAGCATCTATTTGATTTCATTCCATATCATTTCAAATCTTTCTAGAAGTCATTGACCCATGACCTTCTGTTGATGATCCTAGAAATGATCTTTTTAGAATTTCCAATGAAACCAAGACCATAGAACAGAGATGGTGAACCTATGGCACGTGTGCCCAAGGTGGAATTCACTGCTGTTTCAAGTTTTTTCCCCTGACCAATATATCTGAAGGCATAGATACTGTATATATCTATAGTTAATTAATTATATAATATAATAATAATAATAACAGTAATTTTGCTGCTCAAAATTTCCATAGGCACTTGAAAGAATTTTCCTGAAAATTATCGACAATTTGGGAACATGCTCTCAAAAAAAGGTTTGCCAGCCCTGCCATAGAATGTATACATGTTCAATCTTATCAGGATTTCAAATCAATAGAAGACCACTATTTTATATTTTGACCTTTTGTCAGAGGTCATGGACTTTTGGATCTGAAGTCTTTGACCTACTTCATTGATCATAGGTTAAACTTAAAGATGACCAATTCCAAAACATTTTAATTAGTGGCGATATCTCTGAAAGTAATGATTTTACATATATTCCAAGTTATTTTATTTTGTTCTTTTCCGTTTTATGTAGTTATTAGAGAAATTAATTATTTTTTTAAGAAAAATTGCCGATTAATTTACCATGAAATTTGAGATATCTCAATATCGAAAAAAGGCATCAAATCCTGTAATAATCTTTAAATTTCTCTTCTTAAGTTCCTTAAATATATCTATTTCATTTGCAAAACAAATCTATTTGTTTGACCGTAGTTCGAACGATTAGGAATATGATAAAATATATATAAAAAAAAAGATCATGGTCAATGAAATATTGTTTAAATTCTTACATTTGTCTTGATTTACTCGTCATTGACGACACTAATTTCACTTTGTCGACTAGAGATGAAATTATATAAATCAATAATGAATTTTATAAATGCCTACCTGGAACTCTACTGTAGACAGAGTATCTTTGGTTATTTCTTCGTGAAAACACTGCTTGGCGTTATCAGGTAATTCAAAAGTCAACTCGACAGCGCCTACGCTATGCATAACCTCCGTAAATTGAAAGAAACAACACAAATAAAAAATCTGATTTAAATAAAGTATAGACCCCATTCTAGGGAACTGATTAAAATCAAGTGCTATATATTTACCTACGTTTATTCAACAAACTGTTTACTTTGAGACGTATCTAAATCTTACACATATACAAAAACAACGTGGCGGTTTACGTACTAAGGAAAGGAGCCATCTAGAAATAATTTCTCGTATGAAAAATCAGCTGTATTTATTATGTAAAAAAAACACGAAAAACAAAACAATTTATAGCATTGTTTACAATCAAAGAAGTGATCTTTTTGAGGAAATAATTTAATTGAAAATTATTTGCAAAGTAGTACCTTAATAGTACTTCTAATATTTCTCACCCAATGTAGAAATTATTAATAATATCATCGTATAAAAACAATATATTCGATTTTAATAAAGTACTTTCAGGAACTTTCATTTATTTACCGTGTCCCTGTGGGTTAATGGCTTTACGCTGAAATAAAGAAACGTTTATTTTCGATGACGAGGAACCCACTTTGAGACTAATAATGGCTGGAGACGGCTTAAATGG